CCAGCTCCACCTCCACCACCACCACCGCCTCCTCCGCTACCGCCTCCACCGCCTCCACCTCCGCCGCCTCCACCACCGCCGCTGCCTCCACCACCACCGCTGGCACCACCACCACCGTCTCCGCCACTGCTGCCACCACCACCACCACCTCCGCCACTAGTCCCGCCGCCACCCCCACTCCCTCCGCCGCCACCGCCGCCACCGCCACCGCCCCCTCCAGCTCCACCCGCGCCCTTGCCCCCCTTGCCCTTGCTGGAGCGACGTCTCCCACTAGGGGCAGACGCCGCGCCGACCGACTCAAGACCAAGCAGGTCGGCAGCAGCAGCAGAGGCAACAGAGGGCAGCAAGGGGGAAGGAGAGCACCCCTCAAAGATGGGGGTGCGAGGGTCACCACGAGAAGCACCTACAGCGACTATGCTCTTCTCCGCTGCGAGGAGGGCCTTCTCGAGGAGGTCGACGGTGAGGGTGGTGGGACAGACTGCAAGAAAGTGGTCCCTGACGACGCGAAGGGAGTCAGGGAGGCGCGCGACTACGTAGTAGAGAGCGATGTACATGGGGGGGGGGTTCTTAGCGCAGAACTCAGCAGGAAGGGCGGCGCGGTAGCGAGTGTCACTAGTGCGGAGGTGTGTAATGAGGTCAGCGATAGTGGGAAAGGCAGAGAGGTCAGGAAAGAGGTAGGGAAGCATGAGACGGCTCAGTGCAGCGGTGGCAGGGGAGGAGTAGCGCGCAACTACAGCGTCGTACAAGGTCTGAGCACTCTTGTACTGACTAAAGTGCGCACGCTCAGAGGTAGGGAGGTGGCGACGCACAGCAAGACGTGCAGCAGCATCGCGGGTGGCCCACTTAGAGCGGACAGCGGGATCAGCATCAGCAGCAGGGGCAGGAGAGGCGCCAGAGGTGAGGTCAAAGAGAGAAAGGTCGTCAGCCCTGTCGCACTGTAAGAAGAGCTGCAGGTCGTCTAACCAGACCTCAAAATCAATGGCGCGACCCTCAGCGTCAAAAGCTAGGACACTAGGGGTAGCCATGGCGGCGACAGCGACGCAGTGCAAGCAGTAGGGAAAGAGCTCGCAGTGTCAGTGGGACTGTGCTCACCAGGCAGGGCAGGTCGTGCAGCTATGCAGAAAGGCGGCTCAGCGACCGGGCGGCTCGGGTGCACAGCGGCTCGGCTCCCGGGCGGCTCGGCGGCTGGGCGGCTCGGGTGCAGGGCGACTCGGCTCCCGGGCGGCTCGGCGGCAGGGCGGCTCGGGTCCCGGGCGGCTCGGCGTTGGGCGGCTCGGCTCCCGGGCGGTTCGGCTGCTGGGGCGGCTCGGCCGGGAGATGCAGGGGCGGGGCCGTCAGGTGCAGCGGCGGGTCGACCGGTGCAGTGGCGGGCCGGCAGGTGCAGCGGCGGGCCGGCAGGTGCAGCGGCGGGCCGGCAGGTGCAGCGGCGGGCCGGCAGGTGCAGGCGGCGGGCCGTAGGGTGCAGCGGCAGGCCGGCAGGTGCAGCAGCGGGGCCGTCAGGTGAAGCGGCGGGCCGCTGGGTGCAGCGGCGGGCCGGCAGGTGCAGCGGCGGGCCGGCAGGAGCAGCGGCGGGCCGGCAGGAGCAGCGGCGGGGCCGTCAGGTGAGGCGGCGGGCCGGCAGGAGCAGCGGCGAGCCGGCAGGAGCAGCGGCGGGGCCGTCAGGTGAGGCGGCGGGCCGGCAGGAGCAGCGGCGGGCCGAGGGTGCAGCGGCGGGGCCGTCAGAGGCGGCGGGCCGTAGGGTGCAGCGGCGGGCCGTAGGGTGCAGCGGCGGGGCCGTCAGAGGCGGCGGCGGGGCCGCGGCAGTAGAGGCGGGGCCGCGTCAGGGGAGGCGGCGGGGCCGCGTCAGGGGAGGCGGCGGGGCCGCTTCAGGGGAGGCGGCGGGGCCGCGTCAGGGGAGGCGGCGGGGCCGCGTCAAGCAGGCGGCGGGGCCGCGATCAAGCAGGCGGCGGGGCCGCGATCAGGAGAGGTGGCGGGGCCGCGTCTGAGGGACAGCGGGGCCGCGAGGGAAAAGGCGACCCGAGGGGTCGCTAAAAAAAAAGGGCGCGCCTCGGGGCGCGCTTCGGTGGGCCCTAAAAAAAACGGTCCTAAGGCAGGACCCGCTCTATACCATGTGAAGCAAGGAAAACAGGAATGAAATGACTAAGTCAGAGTTGGGTACAAATACAACCCTAGAAAGCTGTACCCCATATGTGCTACCCCACTATAGCCTACAAACATGCATCAGCTATGATAATCTGACAAATACCCCGTCGGCGGCTCTAGGGCGAGCGGGTCCTCGCCCGGCTCTGCGCACGTGGGGTGGTCGTCATCGATGGCGACGAAGGCGGCGGCCGGCATGGCGCTAGGCCCGAGGCCAAGACGGGCGATCATGATGCCGACATCCCCGATGTCCTCGTCGAGGTCAATTGGGAGAGCGGCATTGACGCCGTTGCCGACCGTGGCGAGACCGTCCAGGCCAACATGCGCGAGGTCCATGGCCCACGAGCGTGGCATGCACCCCGTGCGCCACCAGCACCTCTGAATCGTACGCACGGGGATGTTCATCCATGACTCCGAGAGCCATGAGATGACATCGCGCATGTTGGGGCGGTAACGCGCCATCACGGGAAAGGCGCCAGCATCTTGCCACAGGGCCGTGACCGCGCGAAGCCAGTGCTGACGGTAGCGTGCCTTCGTCGTGGCGATCAGACCCTGATCAAGCGGCTGCGTGAAGGCGGTGGTGTTGGGCGGCAAGAAGACAAGCCGGATGTTGCCCACGATGCGAGTGCGGAAGCCGAAAAGGTCTTCTGACGTGGCATCGTCGTCCTTCAGCACGTGGCTGCTTGCGTTGTCCAAGAGGATGGCGATGTGGCGGTCCTCGGCGACCATGGCGGCGTTGAGTTGGCCGATGAAGTGAGTGAACAACTGCGCATTCATCCATCCCTTCTTATTGTGACGCCAGTAGCACAAGTCCTCGGGGTCGTAGTCGGGCAGAAAGTCGCGAGGGCGCTTGGACTTGGAGATGATCAAAGGCCGGAACGCGTGACTGCCATCCGCGTTAACGAGCAACCCGACCGTGAGGCGATCCTTCGCCAGCTTACGCCCCGGCACGCGCGACCCGCCGTACGTCTTGCGCGGCAAGACAGACAGGAACAGAGCCGTCTCGTCGAAATTGTAGACGTCGCGCGGACGGAGGGAGAGATACATGAGGAGCTGCGGGAGCTGCTCCTGGCAGGTACGGACCGCGGCGTGGTCCTGGTCGGCGGCCTCCCCAACTGCGCTGCGGCACCGAATGCCGTTGCGGCGCAAGGCACGGCGAACCCACCCCACGGAGCAGCGGAAGGTAGGCGGTAGGTCCATTCCGCGTGCCATGGTAGCAACGTGGTCGCGGATAGTAATCAAGGTGAGCGGCACACTCGCGGGCCCGGCGTTGCGAATCCAGCGCACCATAGCCTGCTCAAGCTGCGGAAATGCGCCGCCACGCACGCGGACGGGGTTGTCGTCGTTGGAGACGGCGCTCCAACGGTCGGCTCCTTTGAGCACGCGACCAATGGTCGAGCGATCAGGGCGGACGCCGAAACGGGTAAAGCACCAGCGCGCCAGGTCGACCTGGCGCATGCGGGTGTTACTGACATGATGGGCACAGATTGCCCTCTTAATGTGCACGGGAACCTGAGAGCGGCGAAACAGGCGCGGCATGTTGGTGGCTGAACTAGTGAGTAAGTCTGTGTGTTGGTGACTAATTTGCGTGCCAATTTATGCCCAAGTGCCAGTGCTCGGCTGACTCAATGTCGAGTGTGTTTCTTCGCGGAGCCGTAGGGGGATGGGGCAACATTCAGCTGAGTGAATATTGCCACATTTGGGCCTGTAACACTTTCTGGCGGAGTGAATATTTCCGGAAACGTGTTTGTTAGTCGCACATGTATCTGTAACCACAGCGGGTGACGTGTGCATAATTGCAACTTGTGGACACAGTTGGGCTTCTATCCAACATCAGCAATGTACACGTGGCGGTGCAAGGGCGCATTGTGCACGATTAGCCGCATCGACGTGGCGTACAGTCATGGGCGAAATTGTGCGCGACGTCATAACTCACTCCGCCACATTTTTCGCGGAGTCTGTCTCGGGCCTCAAAACAGGAATACCCAGGGCCGACGTCTTTTGTCACTAAGCACATGTGTAATTTTTGTCGTGTGGCCACCCACATACAAGTGGCACATGCGCTTATAAACAAGGTGCAACTGCCCGGGGAAAAAAACACGGGGGCAGACTTTCTTTTTTGGGCAAGGCAATTTCGCGCGCAGGGGTTGAGCATCTTGTGTATAGGAGGGCAGGTACACTGTACACCGCCTTCCTGCTGATGAACCTGCCTTGATTATGAGCCAAATTCAGCATCAACCGAAGTTGTGGACCATGGCCAAATTTCAGGGCAGTGGCTTGGTAGAATTTTGACAAGTCCTCCTATTGGGAAGGGCATGTTGAAACATGACACCCATATTCGTAGGAGGTCAGCAAATGGACCCTCAGTGGAGAAATGGATGCCAGAATGAGCTGAGCAGCACAAGTTCCCAAATCCAACTTGCAAATGGACAATCTGCAAATGGGCTTCGTGCAGTGATAAGAGCTGTGCGGCAGTCCGTTCCGTACGCACAACGGACTGCGGACTCTGACGTGGCCCACGGTCGTAAAATCAACTCTTAGGCAAGGCAACAGATGCCATAGAGAACAGTAGAACTGCCCATTCGTGTGGACGATGGCCGACCTGGAATCTGCTCCGAAAGGTGGCAAAAGACGAATCCCATTCCAACCTGAATTCGAATCGCAGGCCATTACGTCAGATCGGCAGCCGGCTCATTCAGAGACCATGCGTTCAGCCACACAATCTCCCCAAGCCGATGCGAACCTCAGACCTCAACAAGTCCTCTTTGTGTCTGAGAGCTCGATTACTATTTCTACAACCATCGAAGTGAGCAAAAACACAATTCCAAATTCAGCAGTCGAAGAACGTCCAATCGTTCATCATGCCTCGCTTCACTTCAGTTATCATCTTTCTAGCTCTTAGTTCTTCCGCGGCCCTCGCCGAGGTGTGCCCGAAGTTCGTTTGCGGGCCGGGTAATTTCCTGTATGGCAAGTTCACCGACCCCAAAGACCCGCTCAAGGAGCCGTCGGATCCTCTGTGGGAGGGGTTCTTCACTCCGGGTCAGATGTACGACTACGTGACGAGGTTCAACATTAGCGACTTGAAGATCGAAACCCCGCAGCTGGACTGCTACGAGTTCTGCGTTGCCAAAAACATGCTGCTGCCAAGCAATGCGGACCCGGCGAAGAAGGCCAAGTACTGGATGTTCGAGGAGACGTGTCTGGAGGGGACCTGCGCGAAGTGCACCTGCGCGGGAGCCAGCGTGAAGTGCACGGGAGGCGGAAACATGCAGCAGCCGCGTGCAAGGGTGAACGTGGGCAGCGCAGGGGAGAACGTGGGCAGGACGTGGGGGACTCATGTGAAGAGGACGAAACAGAGGTTTCGTGCCTTGACTGACTTGGAAGGACTTTCGCGTGGGACAGGTGGCGGAAGTCCAGAGTTGAAGGAATAGGAGTGTAACACGTGTGTAATTGCAGTGAGTGGTACAAATGTAAATAGGAAAAGTAGAATGCGGTCCGATGTTGGGGCTGGCCACCCGAATCAACATCTCGAGCCGCATGTCTGAATTGTAAATGTACTGTACATATAAAAATGCATTCGTAGGACAGAGAGAGTAGTCTTTGCTGTTTCTCTTTCTGTTTGTTCTTCCTTGCTTCTAAGGAAAATCCTTTGGTGAAATTCTCAGCCAGAAACACTAGAACAAGCCCAAGAGCCGGTGAGCTTGTTCCACTTGGTGTCAGAGCCTGTTTATTCCTCGTGAGTTGCTGCCAGGAGATTTTTGCACCATGGCCGATTCAGAGCGTGATGCCGCGGTTCGAGAGCTCGTAGCCAAGGAGGTGCAGGCTGCCTTGCAGAACGCAGCTGCACAGCAAAGCGTAGCTACAGCTCCGGGAAGCGTAGTGGGATCCCTTTCCCATGTGAGAGCATCGATGCCGGACCCCTTTGTTCCAGGGAAAGGACAACCGGTGGTTCGACGATGGCTCTTTTTAGTGGAAGAATATCTACGCTTGAGCCATGTGGCTGGTGAGGAGTGGGCACCGTTTGCTGGAACCCTACTCCGAGGCTCTGCGGTTGCATGGTGGCAATCGGTGCGACCTGCTATCCAAACCTGGCAGCAATTCAAGGAAGCTCTCGTTGCGTCATACGAACCTATCAACGCGATGGCAAGGGCGCGTGACCGACTTGCAAATCTGCGGCAGCGTACTTCTGTAGCAGATTACATTGCAGAATTTCGTGACATCTCCACCGAAATTTCAGACCTTTCAACGGCTGAGGCGCTAGACAAGTTTAAGCGCGGGTTGAAAGACGACGTTAGGATGGAGGTAGAGGTGCAGGGCTGTAGTTCGCTTGAGGATATGGCGCGTGTCGCTGAACGTTACGATGAGATTCACTTTGGTAACCGTCGCAATCGTTTCAACCGTGGGATGCGGTTCAGTCCGAACATGTTCCAGCCTTTCCATGGGGAGCAGCGTGGTGGTGCAGGACCGACACCGATGGAGCTGGATGCGATTGATAAGAACAAGGAGAAGCGGAAGGGCTTTGCTGGAAATTGTTTCAAGTGTGGGAAGCGTGGCCACAAAGCACTCAACTGCCCTACCAAGCCTAGGCAGCCGGGAAACAAGCCTCACCAGTAGCTTCGGGGCAAGTTGCTGGTGGTGAGGAGTGCCCCACCTTGCTGACTCCATCCTCAACACCGCTGCAGCAGGAGTCGGAAGGAGCCATAGTACTTCGGGGGCAGATTCGTGGTAAGGAGGTAAAGATGTTGCTGGATAGTGGTGCTTCATCCAATTTCATTTCTTCTCGCCTGGTGCATGAATTGAAGTTACCTGTGCAGAGCAGTACAGTGGAGAGTACGGTGCGCATGGCGGATGGTGTAGTAAGTGTTGTAGAGGACTCTCCTCTACTTTGCAGGAACTGAGAATTTTTCTAAACAGTAGAGTACTCTGCTAGCTTTCCAACGGGCCGTAGATCACCTCGTTCGCCTGAGTATCGAGCGAGATATCGCCGTTTATGTGCTAGGTAGTGCTCTTAGATTGAAGGATAGGAGCTCTCTGGAATTTGTGTTCGAATGTACCTTGTACAAAGAACTTGAGTTTCACTATGATGGCATGCAATACAAAGAAAACATATTTATAGCATGCAAACAAGATCGAATCGCACAAGTAACCTCGAACCGCTACACTCGCGAATGTTCGAGTAACATCGAAAGGGTGAAATTCGACTCTCGAATTTCACCGATCCGAATTCTCCTTGGGTCTCGAATGTTCCTGGTGCTGCCATGTGGCACCGAATCGAATGGGTCTTCCGAAGTCAATCCTCAACCCCACGCAAACCTGCAACTCACTCGAAGGTGAGAACCAAAAAGCAGCACCGTTCGGTGGTTGGGGGCAAAACCTAGCCCCACGCAACCTCCAACAGTAAGGAACTGTGGACCTGAGTTGTACCCGGTCAACTGCAACATAGGGGAGTTTCATGGGAAGATTCGGTTTCAGCAAATCTGGCTAGACAGTCATGACATCATCTTGGGCAGAAACTGGTTGGCAGCAGTGAACCCTCAGGTGAATTGGAGAACCAGGGAGGTCAAGGTGCAGCAGCAGGAGAGGATGACCTTGCAGCTGATTACTGCGAAGCAGTTTGGTAAGGCCATTCGGGGGGAGGAAGCAGTTTTCCTAGGTCTTATCACAGAGGTCCAGCCTACATCACCTGACGCAGTAACACCAACGGTTTCAGCATCACATGAGGATGAGGAGTTAACACGGGGTGTAGAGAAGCTGCTGGAAAAATTTTCAGCGGTGTTTCCCGAGGACTTACCGGCTGGACTTCCTCCTAAGCGAGCTGCAGATCACAGGATAGAGTTGATTCCTGGATCTACCCCACCGGTGAGACCGACCTACAAGATGAGTGCAGTGGAGCTGAAGGAGCTGAAGAAGCAGTTAGAGGACCTGTTAGCTAAGGAGTTCATTCAGCCTAGTTCTTCTCCGTACGCTTCTCCAGTACTGTTCGTGCGGAAGAAGGACGGTTCTCTGCGAATGTGTGTAGATTACCGTGGGCTGAACAAGATAACAGTGAAGAACCGGTACCCACTGCCACGGATAGATGAGCTGTTCGAGCAAGTTGGTGAGGCACGGTACTTCTCGAAGCTGGATCTGCGTTCGGGGTATCATCAGGTGCGGATTCAGAGTGAGGACATTCCAAAAACAGCGTTCCGAACACGCTATGGTCACTATGAGTTTCGTGTGTTGCCATTTGGTCTCACCAACGCTCCAGCCACTTTCCAAGGCATGATGCAGAGCATTTTCAGTGATTTCATTGACAAGTTTCTGGTGGTTTTCATTGATGATTTGCTGGTTTACAGTCGCACTCGTGAGGAGCACCTGAAGCACCTTGAGCTGGTCCTTGCACGTCTGAGTGAGCACAGATTGTATGCCAAGCGTTCAAAGTGTGAGTTTGCAAAGACCAAGCTGTCTTTCTTAGGTCATGTCATTTCACATGGGAAGCTGGAGGTAGACAACAGCAAGGTAGTAGTCCTGAAGGAGTGGAAGCAGCCGAGTACAGTGAAAGAGGTGCAGGCTTTCTTGGGGTTAGCTAACTACTACCGGCGGTTTGTGAAGGGATTTGCAGCAGTGGCAGCACCTCTGACCGATCTCTTACGGAAGGACTCATCATTCAGTTGGGGACCATTGCAGCAGCAAGCATTTGAGCAGCTCAAAACTTCTCTTACTTCACCCCCTGCCCTAGCAGTACCAAATCCAGAGCTCCCATATTTCATTTGGTGTGATGCATCAGACGTTGCTCTTGGAGCAATTCTCTGCCAGGAGCAGGAAGCTGGGCTGCAGCCAATAGCCTTTGAGTCACGGAAGCTCACTGCTGCAGAGCGCACATACCCCATTCACGAGAGAGAGGCACTTGCTGTGGTGCATGCACTGAAGAAGTGGCGCTGTTATGTGGAGATGCAGTCCGTTACAGTCTTCACTGATCACCGAACACTGGAGTACTTGAAAACACAGTCACAGATCACACCACGGCAGGCGCGGTGGGTTCATTTTCTAGAGCAGTACGTCCCCAACCTTCAGATTGTCTACAAACCAGGGCGCTTCAATCCGGCAGATGTTCTGTCACGACCAGCAGCAGAGGAGCTGAATGTCATGGGTGTGGTTACATGGGACCGCAACTTCATCACTCGTTTCAGCCGGGGTTACAATCGTGATCAGCTGTACCAACAGAAAGTCCCCCATGACCCATCCTTTCTTTTTAGCAATCCCTTTTGGACCCGTGCAGATTCTGGTGCTGTGTGTGTACCTGATGACTCCAGGCTACGCCAGCTGCTACTACATGAGTACCATGACAACCGGTCACACTTCGGCAGTGACAAGACATATGCTGCCATTTCTCGTGACTACTACTGGCCTGGACTGTCCCGGAGTGTAGCAGAGTATGTTTCTTCATGCCCTACCTGTCAGGTCAACAAGGCTCGCACCACCGCACCGGCTGGTCTGCTGCAACCATTGGAGATACCCACAGCCCCCTGGACTTGTGTTTCTCTGGATTTTATCACAGACCTACCCCGCACCCCTACAGGCTTTGATAGCATCCTCGTGGTCATTGACAAGCTGTCCAAGATGGCTCACTTCATCCCTACAACTGGCACAGTGACTGCTGCTGAAACTGCCAAGCTGTTTTTCACTCAGGTGGTGAGGCTACACGGACTGCCCTCAGCCGTAATCAGTGACAGAGACACACGGTTCCTCAGCAACTTCTGGACTGCACTGTTTCAACTGCTGGGCACACAGATTCGACTCTCTACAGCCTACCACCCTGAAACGGACGGCCAGACAGAGCGCATGAACAGAACCTTGGAGGATGCACTACGCTCGTGTGTGAATTCTATGCAAACTGATTGGGATCAGCACTTGGCAGCAGTGGAGTTTGCCTACAACAGTAGCCCCAACATTGCCACGGGAGAGCCATCGTTCCTTTTAGCTACTGGACAGCTACCACGCTCAGTCACATCCCTCCCTCACTCTCTTCATTCCCCTAACCCCACAGCAGCAGATTTCATCTCTTCTCATCACCGCATTCTTCAACTTGCCCGAAGGAAGCTTCAGCTTGCACAAGAGCGCCAAGTTCGCTATGCCAACCAGCATAGGCGTCACACCACTTTCAGAGTTGGTGATTTGGTGCTGCTTTCAACGGCTAATCTGCCCTTGCTGAATGCTGGAACTTCTCGCAAGCTCGCACCCAGATTCGTTGGACCATTCCCCATCACCAAAGTTCTCTCACTGGTCAGCTACCGACTTCAACTCCCTTCTCACATGACCATACACCCTGTTTTCCATGTTCACCTTCTTCGTCCTTACCATACACCCTCTCACCCATTCCAGCCCCGCCCACCCATGTTCTCTGCCCATCCGGACCTGCATGAGGTCGACTCCATCCTCTCACACCGTGACACTCCGGTTGGCCGTGAATACCTCATTCACTGGCGCAACACCTCAACATCTGAAGACTCATGGGAGCCGTTCTCCAACCTCAGCCATGCTCCTCGTGCCATTGGAGTCTATCTTGCCTCATTGGCACCGAGGACGGTGCCTTCAGGGAGGGGAGGTAATGTAACAAGGGGCACCTGCGCGGGAGCCAGCGTGAAGTGCACGGGAGGCGGAAACATGCAGCAGCCGCGTGCAAGGGTGAACGTGGGCAGCGCAGGGGAGAACGTGGGCAGGACGTGGGGGACTCATGTGAAGAGGACGAAACAGAGGTTTCGTGCCTTGACTGACTTGGAAGGACTTTCGCGTGGGACAGGTGGCGGAAGTCCAGAGTTGAAGGAATAGGAGTGTAACACGTGTGTAATTGCAGTGAGTGGTACAAATGTAAATAGGAAAAGTAGAATGCGGTCCGATGTTGGGGCTGGCCACCCGAATCAACATCTCGAGCCGCATGTCTGAATTGTAAATGTACTGTACATATAAAAATGCATTCGTAGGACAGAGAGAGTAGTCTTTGCTGTTTCTCTTTCTGTTTGTTCTTCCTTGCTTCTAAGGAAAATCCTTTGGTGAAATTCTCAGCCAGAAACACTAGAACAAGCCCAAGAGCCGGTGAGCTTGTTCCACCCGGCGAAGAAGGCCAAGTACTGGATGTTCGAGGAGACGTGTCTGGAGGGGACGGGCGGCATCTGCTCGTGCTACAACAAGCTACAGTGCAAGGACGACAAGAGCTACAGCAGCAAGTGGATGGAGCCTGCTACCGGTGTGGGCACGTCTGACTACGAGGTGCCGGCGAACTTCACGGAGGGCGAGCTGTGCGAGGGCAAGGACAAGGGCGACCCGCACTTCACGGGCGCCGACGGGTCGCACTTCGACTTCAGCGGGAAGCCGAACCGCAACTACGCGCTGGTGTCGGACCCGCACTTCCAGATGAAACGGCTTCTTCGGCGGGCGCTACAGCCGCTGGAACGGCGACGTGAAGGCGCTGACGTGGATCCGGTCGGTGGGGCTGATGGCGGGACACCACACAGTGGTTCTGGAGGCGCGGCGCGGCGCGGAGGCGGAGTACGGCAACGGGTACCTGGCGTGCGTGGTGGCTGACGGCGTGGCGGTGGAGCTGACTGTGCCCGGCACGACGGTGCAGCTGTGGGACGGCGCGACGCTCAAGTGGGAGGCTGCGCGCATGCTGAGCGGCACGGACCTTGTGGACGTGTACGACGTGACGATCGACGGCGTCGCCACCATCCGCCTCACGCTCAGGCCCGAGGTCAAGAACCTCCGCACCGCCACGGACGCCGCCGTGCACTTCGGCCTCGACGTGCTCTCCTCCTCCTTCTCCAAGGCCGTGCACGGCGTGCTCGGCCAGACGTTCCGCCCCGACTTCCAGGGCCGCCTGTAAGTCGAACCATCCCCCGCGCCTCTCTGCCTGCGAGCATTTGTTTGTTCCTTGGCTTTGTTCCTTGCTCGTTCCCAATTCCTCTCTTTGGCATTTTTTGCGTGTTCGTGGGCTCAAATGCGGTTTCCATTCTCCTTATTGTTCATCTCCGGTTGGGTTTCTCAGGTCCCAGCAGAGTCTGCAGTGGAGTGACCTGCTGCAGGTGATGGTGGTGCCGGGCGACAACGCGGAGGGCTTCATCGATGGAAGCATGGACGACTACGAGGTGACGGACCTGCTCAAGGCGGACTGCAAGATGTGCCGCTTCACCGCGCCCACGCCGTGGACGACGAGATGTCCATCGCCATGAACATGATGGGCAGCGCCGTCGGCGGAGGCCTGCCCGCCGCTCCTCGCAAATACCTCGCACAGAGCTTCTAAAGCCACTCCGTCCCCATTTGCCTTCTTCTCTTTGTAATCTAAACCACATCGCAAGAGTGAAGGGGCTGTTGTAAATGGCATGGTCGATCAGGCAACTTTTCACTAAGATTTTTTTGGGGGCTAAGGTGGCAATTCTGGTATCGCTACCTTGTTTTGCCTGTCATGCAAATCTCAATTTGTGACGATTGCACGCAGATTCATTCTGCTTGTCGCGTCGCACTCCGTGCTGCATTTCCTTCGAATGTCTGCAAGGTGGGTTCGAAATGATCTGAAAGGCCCTTCTGGCGAGATACTCGTGCGAGTGAAGCGAGGCTTGCTGACGAGGTCATGCATATTTCGTTGCCGCGATAACACGTTAGCGATCCCACCGAAAATCTCGGAATTGTTTTGGGAAACTAGTGCGCGGGTGTGAGGGATGTGGAGAAGGGGGGATTTTGGGGAGTGTAAATCGGCAAACATGGGATACATGTGCACATGTTGCCAAATTTCTGTGGTTTTTTCAAAGTGCTCTATTTCCATCATTGGTTTTCCAAGTGACTATACTCAAAACTAGAGACCATTTGGAAACTCATCAATTACTGTACTGATTTTTTAGTAAGAATATTATGCACGTCCCAATTTCACTTGTTAGCTGCCACTACAGCGACATTCTTGCCATGGTGGACAAACTAGATATGCTGTGATGAGTGAGGCCAGGGCCCTTTGAGTCATATTCGTGTTACAGCCGAGTACGCCATGGTCCTAGGTGTAGCAACGAATGCTGCTGTCTCTCCACTTTGATGATATTTATTTAAATGCAATCGACAGGGCATCATAATTTTGAATCCACATCACAATTGAGGAGGTTCATAAAGAATCTGAGAAGCGAAATATTATTTGAACCACTTTATCGTATATTTTCTTGTACAAAATTTTTCTTCATCACAACTCAGCAATTAGTTTTCAGATGTCTGCTTGTAGCGCGAACGCAGCCAGTGTCGCGCCTCCACCCCACAGAGAGACTCTTGCTGACACACACCGCAACTCGCCTGAGGGCGACACTGCACCATATCTGGGGCTGTGGATCTTGTTGGTCATTGGTTCACGATCCATTCTAAACCGTCGATCGGCAACTCTCGTCGTGACTACAGCATAGCTATGCCTTGTTACAGGTGTGTCGTCGTGAGCATCCACAGGGCCTGTCCTGTCCTCCCCATGCTTCGCCATAGAGTTCCACGTGAAGGCGACTCGCGATGAACACACTAGCGACTCGGCTACCGCTAGTTAGCTCAATTTCAATTCTGCCTTCCTCCCACAACCACACAATTTCAGTGCATTCGACTTGACATTTCTCAGTGAGCCATTGAAGCTGGACTTCCACAGGAGGGTGGTAATTTCTCTTCGATTATCTCAGAAACCTCTGTTGGTCGTAGAAGCTGTTCTTCCCAGCATCTCTCACGGATCCTGGTGCTTCTCCAGTTTTGGTCCTGTTTACCTGCATCGCTGCCTGCATTAGTATCGACTTAATGATGTACCACTTGGTGCTACAACAGGCGCGTCGCCTGGTAATTTTATTCCTGCTCTCCTCCTCCATCACACACGCGTTAGTCTGCCCGAAGTTCCAATGCGGCGAGGGACTATTCACGCTAGGGAAATTCCTCGATCCTAACACGCCCTCCGATGTATTTCTTGAGCCGAGTGACCCTCTCGTGGAGGCGTATTTCTATCCCGGGCAGATGTACAACTACAATCAGTACAACATTTTCGACGAAATGCTTAGCGATCCGCACACCGATTGTTACAGATTCTGCGCTGGTTACAACTCGAAGCTGCCGGCAGATGCACCTGCTGACGTGAAGGCCAAGTACTGGATGTTCGAGGAGACGTGCAACGACGGGAATGGAGGTACGACACGCGTTCTATCTCGAATTTGAATGTTCATGTGGTCGCCTGATGTCCTGCCACCGTGCTGGTCGCGTCGCGCTTATAAGTCGTCTTTTGTCAACTATCTTTGCTTCAATCTCTCGTAGCGCGTCGCATCATTATCCCCGAACAGGAAGAGCCCCGTAAACGCACTTCCGCTAGTGCACTCCTTTCACGCACTAACAACTTACCTAAAGTCGTTCTCGCTCCTCGTGCCATATTCATCCTCCCGGCGCCGATTCGTCAGGAATTTGCGCGTGCTACAACGCGAACAGGTGCAAGGACGAGACGAGCTACACGGACGACTGGATGCAGCCGAGCCGCGGCGACGTGGCGACGGACGATTATGAGGTGCCGGCCAACTTCACCGTCGGCGCGCTGTGCCTCGCCGTCGAGAAGGGCGACCCGCACTTCACGGGCGCTGACGGGTCGCACTTTGACTTCTCCGGTAAGAAGAGCGGTTCAATCAATAGTTCTTTTACTATTAAGACACCCCTGTCACCCTCTCGTCGTTTTTCAGTTGCTCAAGAGTCGCCTCTTTCCTCCGCGTTTTTCGCCTCTTTTTCGCCTCAAGATTTTTCAACTCTGTGACAAACCAACGTCACCGTGCTCGCGCATTCTGCTCTCATCCTCTCTCCTTACTCTGTACCCTTGCTCTACCCCTCTTTCCCCTCGCGCTCCCCTCATGCTTCCCCCTTATTCCCCCTCTCCCTCCCAACTGCTTCCACCAGGCCTCCCCAACCATCATTTCGCGCTCATCTCCGACGCGCACTTGCAGGTCAACGGCTACTTCGGCGGGCGGTTCGGCACGTGGGGCAACGCCACCAAGGCGCTGACGTGGATTCGCTCCCTCGGGATCATGTTCGGCCACCACACCGCCGTGCTTCACGCCCGAAACGGCTCCTCCGCCGACTATGGTAACGGCTACCTGGGCCACGTGACGGTCAACGACCGGCCGGTTAGGGTACCAGCGCCAGGGACGAGCGTCAATCTCTGGCCGGGCGCGTCGCTGCGGTGGGTGGAGGCGCGGCTCCGGAGCGGGGATGACCTAGTCGACGTGTACGACCTGCTTATAACGGATATGGGCACGCTGCGGCTGACGCTGCGACCCGAGGTGAAGAACCTGCGAACGGGCGACGATGGCGTGGTGCACTTCGGCATCGACGTTCTAGGCTCCACGTTCTCCACGGCCGTGCACGGCGTGTTGGGACAGACGTTCCGCCCCGACTTCCACGGACGACTGTACGTTGGGGGGGGCCGTGGGTGGGTGCAAGCCAGGTGGTGTGCGTGGGACTTATTCCGCTCTGCAATATTATTCTGCTGTATGTGGGAGATGTTTTTTTAGCCTGTGTGATTTCCTCCTGTAGCTGTGCAAGGTTGGGGCTCATGGCTTGCTCCTCACCCCGGGGGTGCTTCTGCTACTCCCTCTTCCCCCCACCAGCAGAAGCACAATCCTTCAGTGCGCGCAAACTCTTCGTTACGCCTTGTCCCCCTTCTCCCACCTCTCCTCCCCTACAGACCCGACTCAGGAGCTCTTAGTGCAACCCTCTGCTGCGCGCCAATGCCTCATTCCCTCCCAACCAACCCCTTTCCCCCCGCTTCTCTTCCCCCTTCCCTCTACAGCGCGAACCAGGAGCTCAAATACAATCCGCTGCTGCGCGCCAATGTCTCATTCCCCATCGTTCCCCCCTCCCCCTTCCCCTCTCTCCCCTCCTCCCGCCTACAGCGCGAACCAGGAGCTCAAGTACAACCCGCTGCTGCGCGCCAATGCCGTGCCGGGCGACAACGCGGAGGGCTTTATCGACGGCAGCGTGGAGGACTATCTCGTGTCGGACCTCCTTAAAGCGGACTGCCGCTTCTGCCGCTTCTCGCGCTCCCCCGAGGTTGATTCTGAGCTCGCGCACGCGCTGTCGCTCCTGCGCGTGAAACTGCCCAGAAAGTTCTTCCCCCAGCCGTGGTTCGGGCGGAAAGGGAAGGGGAAAGGGAAGGGGAAGGGGAAGAAGAAGGGGAAGAAGAAGGGGAAGAAGGCGGGGAATAAGCGGAGTGGCGGGCGGAAGGGCGGGCTGAAGAGCTGGTTGAGGAAGAAGGCGGCGGGAGGGGTTGGGAGCGGTGCAGAGGGGGGAAAGAGGGGCAGTGTGAAGAGTAAGATTGCGAGGCTTTTCGGGAGGAGAACGGAGTCGTTGTGACGCGTGGGACATACCGTAGTACAAAGCGTACGAGGCTGCTGACGAGTCGAGACTTCCAGAGTGGGGGAGGTATGTTACGGTAGTTGCGGAGAGAGTGGGTTAGACTGCGAGACGAGAAGACTGGGCGAGACCTAATTCGTCGCCGGACAAGCATCCCCACTCAGGTCACATGTCCCTCTTGCACTGGAGGAAGCAGGGCAAGTGTATGGGGAGGAGACTACGAAGGGGAAGCCACGTGGCCACCAGATCCGCTTTCTCGGACTGCTGTAGGGGTGTTTTTCGGCACCATTTTCGGCAGTGCTGCGGAGTAGATATATAGATCTACTTATGCGCATTAATCAGAATAAAGAAATGCTAGGAGTGCAGGTGTTGTCCAGCATGCTTTCAGCATGCCCTGAGGGGCTAGGTGCACGGGTGCCTTATTACCAAAGGCTGATGTCCACTCTCTAATAAGGATGTACTGCCTTGCCTGCATGATGCATCGTGCTTGATTAACAGCAATTTGCTTTTGGCTGAGTTGTTTTTTTAAATATTATTTATGCTTCATACCATACAAGGCTTCCAGATGTTCCATTCTGATCATTAGTGTCTGCACAATGACTAGAGCACCCGCCTGTGTGTAGCATGTGTGAAGCAATCTGGAAAGAGATGCACAAATGAGCAAGAAAGACTCTGCAAAGACTACATTTGTAAGCACCGCATGAAATGTATAAAGAGTTTCCATCCATGAATCAACAATAGATCAGAAGAAATATTGTTTCTCACCAAAGCAGCCCACATACCGTATCCCCCCGGATATACCCCCATGGGGGGCAATAATAAAACAGGTTTTTTCATGGGGGTGGGCTTATAATCGAGTAAATTTATAAGCGCCGGCGTTTATAAAATGACATACATATTTTTTATATCTTTTAACACCAAACTGTAGGTCTCGTGCTTGCCTTTTCAATCGAGTCGAAGTTACATGGGATCGTCTGTGAAATTCTCGCGCGCGCTGGGAGATACACCCAATCTGACTCACATCCAGCTCCTGATAGGTCCTGCTGACTGGACCCGCATCCAGTGCAGGGTCCGAATGTGAAGGGAACCGAATCTGCAACATATCCGCCTGCTAAAGTAAAAATCGTTACAGCTTTTTGAACACATTTCAAATTTTAAAGTTTACGTGCGCTTATAATAAAACAAGTTTTTTCAAGGGGTGCGCTTATAATCGAGGAGGGGATATAAGCGCCATATGCCAATTAGAAGCGCCAGGCGCTTACCCTAGGGTGGCGCTTATATCCGGGGGGAGACGGTACAGTGTAGGCAGAACCAGTAAGACAGTGGTGTATACCAGCAGTACGGGTGTTAGAGGCAATTCTACCAAGGAACAAGTACGGTAACAAGTGACATATGCAAAACTCATACTGCTCCTACATCTCCCTATCCTGTTGACATAAGTACGTCTAGACCCAAAGCTCGTACGCTCATGCGTGACACGTTGCCATGCTGTTGTCAAGGCCATTCCTAACCAAGCTACCGTACGATCCCTTTCAATTGTATCCTGCTTCCTGTTCTTCCCTGAAGGGGGTTACTTTGTGCAAACCCCAGTCTCACAGGTGCCTCTTGGCCAAAGCCCTGACTCGAGCGTCGAAAACTGTTGAGATGATTTTGGAGCCTGGTACATGGAGTGGGTTCATGAGCACCTGGTGAGGAGCGGAGGAAGCAGAATGGGAGTCAGAGAGAGACAGAGAGAGAAAGAAAATTGTCAGTTTGGATCAGAAAATTGTCATTTTGGATTGGAGCGGGGGGGGGGGGGCACATGGAGTGGGTTCATCAACGTGTGCAATGTGAGCTCACCTTGACGTACAGCTCACCTTGATGTACAGCTCACCTTGATGTACAGCTCACCTTGATGTACAGCTCGTGCACTTCTTGGAAGAAGTTTTTTATGCCGTCCTCGTTGCGCGAGTCATGCAGCAGCAGCAGCTTCGTCTGTGCATGGTTGAAACGGCGCGGTTGAAACGGCGCAGTTGTAACGTCACAGTCGAAACAACAGAGTTGAAACGGCGAGGATGCGGGCACAGAAGCGGCAACGGTACGGTTTTAAAGGATTGGAAAGTGCGGAAATAGAGCAGTCGGGAAGATGGTGAACGGATGCGGGTCGAGATAAGTAAGTCAATAATCGGGACGGAGACGGGAGAGAGAAAGCGGTTAAGGAAAACCACCAAGAGAGACATGGGAGCAGCAGGCTGGAAGATTGCATGAATCAGAATTTAGTGGCTACTGGCACGGTAAGTTCCAGAGTAACAAGGCAGAGGAGCAACGGCTGTTGCAACGGCAGGTGGGTTAAGGAGCTCCAACAGGAAAGAATCTCAACAGCAGGCCAATGGTTATGAGATGAGATGTGTGGGACGTGTGAAGTCTGATGGAAGGTGAGTGCCGTGGGATGACAAGACAGCAACAGTGGAAGCAATATGAACTAGGGAACAGGTACAACGTATGCTGGGACTTTTCGATCCGTTCGCTGAAAAGGCACGAACTGGAACACAGAGGGCAGCATGAGAAAGGGATAAAGGATGGAAGGCAGGGAGAAAGGAAGCGAAGAGAGGGCATGTGCGTGTGCGTGCATGCCTTCGTGTGCGTGCGTGGGCATGTGCGTGTTTGGGCGTGTCAAGGGAGCATGTGGAGGAGTGGGCGCGTGGGGAGGCGGCGTGAGAGGATATGACCAGCGGTGACGTAGACAGAGACGAGCAGATCGTTAAACTTGTCCACGGCCTTGAGATGCCTGGCGGTGCGTGGTACCACACACAAGGGGATATGGCGGAAGGGGGAAGGGGGGAAGCGGCGTGGTTTTGAGTAGAGTTGAGACGAGCAGATCGTGAACTTGTCCACGGCCTTGAGATGCCTGGCAGTGGCTCAAGCGAGGGGGTATGGCGGAAGGCATGGGGGGCACGGGAGGAGAGGGGAGGGAATGGGGGGCACGGGAAGGGGAGGGAATGGGGGGCACGGGAAGGGGAGGGAATGGGGGGCACGGGAGGGGGGGGGGGGGACGAGGGGGGAAAATGGGAGGTGGGGATGGGGGGAAGATGGGAGGAGATGGAGGGGGATATGGGGGTTTCTGTCACTGCGGTAGCGTTTTTCAATATTTGTTACGTTCCGAAGCTCCACTGTCCTGGGAGATGCGGGTCTCACACTCCAATATCTTTGCTCTGTTCATTCATTATCTGGTCGCTCTCTTCGTGTTTCCGCTTCCTCACTCTCTCTAGTAGCGTGCCCCACATTTTCCCCTCCTCCTCATCTCCCCCCCCACACCCCCCATCATCTCCCTCCACCAACTGCCCCCCATCTCCACCCCACCCCACCCCCCCCTTCCCCCCCGCATGCCCCCCCCCCCTCCCCCCCCAGCGCACGCACATGTTGTTGGTGGCCCACACGGCGTCCTGCACGATATCCATGGCGCCGTGCAGGATGAATTGGTGCAGATGCGCCGCCTCGTCGCGCTGATAGGGGGGGGCCGGGGGGGAGGCGAGCGGCGGGGAGACGCGGGGGAAGGTGGGGAAGAGGGGGAAGCGGGGGAAGCGGGTGCCGGAGGGGAAGTGAGGGGGAAGTTCGGGGAAGGTTGGGAGAAAGAGGGGAGAGATGGGGGGGGAGGGGGGGGGGAAAGGGGAGGGGAGGGAAGCGACGAGCGCGGGGGATGCAGGGTTATGAGAGTAGGGAAAGGATGAGCGGGAAAACGAATGTTGGATCACGAGTGGCATACTAACGCGGAGGAGGAGGAGGAGGGTAAGGAAGAAATCGCAAAGGTACAGTACCCGAGGAGCTGTGCCAAGCTCGGCATCGTAAAGCGGGCAGTCGTTGCGACCCACTATAACGAAGCACAACGTCGACGACATTCCCCGTTACTGTCACCCCGCAGGCTCGGCGAAAGTGGTAAACTGGTCAGGTTCGGCACCACACTTAGGATGTGGAGCGGTTTCCAGCCCAGAATCTGTCCTCGCAAGAATCCGACTCGGTATTCGGTATACTCGTTATCAATACCAGGTTCGCAACAAACGCTAGTTTTTCCTAGTACTCAGCGTGCAATAAAGCCATGCTCAGCGCATGCGGTACCTAATTAGCCAAGACGCGCGCGCCTCTCCTCCCACGACGTTCTCCCGTGCATCGGATCCTAAAATACTTAAACGACAGGCTTTAACTCACTATCGGGCCCGACCCTTGACAGAGATTCTACGTCACGAGGATGAGTGCTCCTCTGGGTTACTAACTACTTGTAATGAGGGCCCACCAGAGGGGGGTGGTAGCCAATAGAGTCAACGAATCACGTGACGCAAACAAATCTCCCGAGTCCTGACCTGAAATGGACTCGCTCGCCCGGATGCCCGATGTTCCGAACTAATTGCGCAATTCGTACGTCAGAGTCTAGCGAACTCGATCGTTGTGCGGGAATGCGGAGCAGCGAAAGCGGAGACACTTACTAATCGAGGCTTGGGGACACAACTGTTCGATACGCGCTAATAGTGTGACTGCAATTTTAATAACCAAAAGATTCAATCATTGGCTGGCACTTGCAGATCAGGTCAACAAAGAGCAATGCACTAACAGTTATATTGTCGGAAGCCACTCACATCAAAATCAATCCCAGAACGACAACACCGCTCCCTCTTAAAAAAAAAAAAACAGCTAGACATACCGTACAACCGAATTTCGACACTCCAGAAATCGAATTTCTTCCTAAACACCCCATTCCTTTCCTCCGTCCAAAAAAAACAGTCGTATACTATTTCTTGGCGTATGAGACCAGCATGGGGTGTGTGGGTGTGATCTTGAACCCCTGCAACCCCCGCAGGGCTACACTGGCTTGCACTTCATCTATAAACTCAACAAAGGCGATTCCTGGCTTGGCGTCCACCATCCGCACCTCTCTGAACCCAGCAAACTGCTGGAACAGCATCTGCAGCATGGCCGGGGTGGTTTCCACCGGCAGGTTCTGCACAAAGAGCACGCTGTTGGGCGGCGCAGGCGGCTCGTTTGCCCCTGGGATTGCCCCAGCCTGGAGAGGGTAGCGGGAGTGGAGTGAGGGGAATGGGATAACGTTGAACGAGGGGGCGGGGGTTGGGAAGGCGATTGGGGAACGGAACAGAATGAATGTGTGGCCGTGAGACAGGGATGGGGGGGAAGGAATGGGGGTTCCCATGCAAGTGGCGAGCTAAGGCGCGGTAAGGGCCGCAACAAAGGGCGCTGTGGTGACGTGCCCAAGTCAACTGATAAAATCTTGGGTGTACAGTTCCTGCTCTTGCCATCCTTGCTCTTGCCCTCTGTTTGCCCTCTCCTTGACCCCTCTCCTTGCCCTTGCCCTTGCCTGTGCCCTTGCCCTTACCCTTGCCCTTACCCTTGCCCTTACCCTTGCCCTTGCCCTTGCCCTTGCCCTTGCCCTTGCCCTTGCCCTTACCCTTGCCCTTGCCTTTGCCCTTGCTGCTCTACCCTTTCCCCGCACCTGGGCATAGGCTGCAGCAGTGGCAGGCGCGCGGCCGCCGCCTGCTGCCCCTGCTGCAGCATGCTCCTGCTGCTGGCGACGCCGGGCTGATGAGGAAGAGAGGGTTGGTTAGGAGAAAGGAGGAACGGGGGGGAGGGAGGAGGGGAGGGAAGGGGAGAAGGGAGGGGGGGAGGAATGAGGGGAAGGGAGGAGGGGAGGGAAAAGGGGAAGGGAGGAGGGAAAGGAAGGGGGGGGGTGGGCGAAGAGGGGTTGTGAGTACAGGGGGAAACGGGGATGAGTGAGAGTGAGAATTGGAAAGTAACAAGAGGGCATAAAGTGCCTGAGGAATTTAATAAAGCGAGGACAAGGCGAAGGATGCAAAACAAGGAGAGATACACTGGGAACGGAAGGGAAGGGAGGGGGTGGAAGGGGCTGGAGGGAGCGAGCAAGCTAGAGATTGGGGCCGAGGCAGGGAGGGGTCGACGAGGGAAGGAGAGTGCGGCGATGCGAGTGGTAGGGAGGGCACGAGAGTGGAACCGAATCGAAAGCATACGCAGGCACAATAGGCAGTCCGCTGCATCAGTGTGCTGTAGCAGGCAGCGTACCTCGTTCCTCGTGGCGCTTGCGCTTCTCTCTGGGCACGAATGTGCCGTCTGACTTGGCAACCACGTCCGACTTGGTCTTTGCATACGAGATCCTCTGCAGGTGGGCGAAAAGGGGCAGGAGGACCGTGTGGGGGAAAGGGGGAGGTAAGGGGGGAAGGTGAGGTTATGCGCCAGCTGAAGGGTTAACATGGCGAATGAGGGCGAGGAGCGCAAAATCACCACTGCAGCAGCCCTGCTCACCACGGAAACCCTGCCACCACGCACAAGCATGCACGCACCAGGAACTTGTCACACCACACCACATACACCCTCCACCACATACACCCCTCCTGCACCACGCACCATGGGCTTGTCATAGAAGGGGAAGCCCTGCATCTGGCGCAGCGCGTTGGTGGCGGCCGTGACATCCTCGAACACCACCCACGCCTGCCCGCGCAGGCGCAGCGTCTTGAGCGCGACAATGTCGAGGATCTTGCCGAACTGCGAGAACACCGCGTACAGCGACTTCTTCAGCTCTGCGCGCGCGGGGGGGAACAGGGTGGGGGAAGAAAGGGGGGAAAGGGTGGGAGACGAGGGGGGAAAAGAGCCACAATTTCGCGGATCTTGCCGAACTGCGAGAACACCGCGTACAACGACTTCTTCAGCTCTGCGCGGAAGAGCGGGGGAAGAGGGAGGGTGGGGGATGGCGAGGAGGAGGGAGGAAATGGGAGGACGCGTGGGGGCGGTAGGGGATATCGCGGGGCAGGTAGGTGGAATAGGGAAAGGGCGGAAGCCACTGTGGGGCCAAAAGAACAACGAGATCTACGGAAATTAATCAAAACGAATGTTACGCTGGATGAAGTATTAACGAAATGCAGCCTGTACAAACTAAGGAAGCGAATTCAACTTCGCTCCCCTACCGGCGCCCAGCGCGCACGGCGCTTCACATCCTGCTACGCAGCCGCTTGCGCGTCATGATTTTAGTCTAAGCCAGCCTAATCCGCCGCCCTAGACGGCAGCGCTGCGGACGGCAAGCGGAAGCGTGCAAATAACGCAATTTTTAGTAAGAATTCCCCATTCGATCACTAACCACGTGGTTTCAACCTAACCTGCCTATCTCGCGACCGAATCAATCGCACCTTCCTTCTTAATCTTCTCATTGAGGTTGTTCAGGTAGATGGTCTGATTCGGAGGAACGTCCGCCCCTTGCAACATCTTTGCGGACGGTTCTTACTCCACGCGCCTGTTTCCCCCTCTCCGATCCGCTCCCTGATCCCTCTGTTGCGCTAGGAGACCGCTGCGTGACAAACCGCGCGCGCCTCTCGTTGCGCCAGTTCCGCCTCTCCCGAACACCACCAGTTCTGCCTCTCGAAATAAACAAACGAGCTTCGGCGGGCACGAAGTTTACTGCGAGCCTGCGCCTAATCCGCGGCTGATCGGATTTCGTAACAAAAGTACTTGCTTGATTATCTCAACAATGGCGTCAGAAAAAAAAACACAACGAAGATTACCAGACGCGTGAGAACAGAAAAAAAAACACTGGATGTCCCGAAGGACAAGGCGACTGGCTGTAAGATGCGCTCAATCGAACGTGGTTACAATGGCAAGGGCATCCACAGAGTGGAAGGCAGACATCCACGGTTCGAGCAGCAGAACCAGCAGAAGCAGCAGCAGGAGAGAATCAAAACCCTCGTGCATAAAGCGGCCATTATCTCCGATACTCAGATTTTTCCTGAGCGCGCTCTCAGGTGTAATCAAACTGGACTTTCTCAACGTTGATTGGTCGTCACTTTTTAGTCACATTTCTCACGCTGGTCAAACTCATTAGGAAGTGACAAAAACAAAACCATCCAGTTTACCCTCCCGACTTGGATATATGTACGGAAATTAAGGTAGTAAGATAATGAAGCCCATAGAACTCACTTGGTAGTGCTCAGTAGCGGAACCGACCGCTAAACAACGCTACCGAAAGCACTAGACGACACTACCGATACCTATTCGGGAATGGCAGAAAAAAATAAAACCCCTACGAAACCTGGATGCATTTTCGAGAGGGGTCAACCCTAAACACGGGAATGGGCATTGTTTTTAGGGTTGATGCCTCCCGAGCCGCATCCCTTTCCGAGGTGGGTATTATTTTTTTTGTCAAGTGGGTTGCAATATGTTCTCCAAAATATTAGGTGGCTTTCGGTATTTAGGATTGATCCTTCCTGGAAATCATATAGGTTCGCTAAGGGTATTATATTTTTTTTGCAAGTGCTACAATTCATTTTTTTGAGTGACTATATATACATAAGCCAGAATAACTTCACGCTATATCGAGAAACTGTGTTTCTGTTGGTGATTACACCTGAGAACGCGCTCTGGCGAAATCTGAGTATCGGAGATAATGGCCGTGCATGAAGGGACACGAGAAGTTCCTCTTCTGTGGCATTTCACAACACTTTGTCGAACAGCGAGTTGGCAATAACGCGTACGTTGACTAGCCTGAGTCTGTAGTTGGGGCCTTCTTAGAATCTATCTGAAGCACGCAACTGCCTAGAGTGCCATCAGTAAGTAATGTGGCAAAACGAACAAATAACAACCAGCGGATCCTAGGATGATTCACAAATTAATCAATCAAGATGCTCTTACCGTAAAAGGTTTGATTCAACCAGTAAATCTCATAATTATGCAACCAGCTAATTCAAGCCAGCTGCCTGTTTATGCTCCAACTGGAGTTGGCAGGCATCAGTCCAGCACTTCATGCCGGAATCAGAGGTGCTCGTACAAGGTCAATGGACAACTCACTTCTCTGAGATTCACTTCCCTCCATATCCCTGCCAACAGCAGTAAACAGCGAGAGGGCAACAAAACATACATGAACAAGTGCAGACAAACATGCACTAACCCAAGTGTGAAGACGCAAGGAGCAAGCCAAGACAACCACAGGATGCACACAAATGCACAGCAGGCTTAAAAAACTTCAACTCACCCGCCCTCGCATCATCCCCCGACCGCCCACATTGCCTCCGTAGCCGAATTTCGGCTTCTTCTCTGCGGGCTTGAGGATCTGGAAGGAGCACATGAGGCTCTCGTCCACACTCATCATGGCCCCCGCATTGTCAAACTCGCCGCAGTAGTTGGGCGCTGAGAAGACGGTCACAAGTTGGCGCTTGGCAAAGAACTCGTACCCGTCTTCCACAACCTGACCAAGGGGAGTTACACGCACAACCACAGGGCGTTCACCGGGTGGACATACCACGTGAGGCAAAACCACGTGAGGACATACCACAGGAAGAAGATGAGTGAGAAGGACAGAGAAACCTAAAATCCAAGTTCTACTATGAAAGGAAACTGTTTCCTGCCTCTGCTCGTGCCTGCATGCGCCCCTCAATGACCATCCTGAGCCCATTCCTTGGCCCGTGATCACGCCCCAATGCCCCCATACCCCACAGCGCACGCCCCCATACCCCACAGCGCACGCCCCCATACCCCATGGCGCATGCCCCCATGACCACGCCCCATGCCCCCAGTTCTGCGTCCCTTCTTCCCAAACGCCCCTACATACCTGGTGGGCTCGGCACACCAAGTCAAGGTCGTGCTTGTCCAAGAACTCTGTTACGGCGTCAGGACCAAACGTGTAGGACACGCCACGGTCGTTGTCCCCCCACCCCTGGATATCCTTGTCGGGATCTGCCCACAGAAGATCGCACAGCAGCCCCGCGTCCGGGACGTCTGTGGGCCGTCCGATCTTCTTGATCTGCTCGAGTGAGCGCAGCTCCGGGGAGAGGCCGCCGTGCATGCAGAGGATCTTCTCGTCTATGAGCGCCGCCACGGGCAGGCAGTTGAAACACTCCGTGAACGTCTTCCACAGCCGGATGTTATACCTGAAAGGAGGAGCGTACGTACGTACGTACGTGAGTAGGAAGGAACGGACGGACGGACAAATCGATGAGCGAACAAGCGAGCGTCAAGCAAGAGCACATAGACGCGCTGGTAGTTGTGAGAGAGCACGGAAGTGCGGGAGGCGAGGAGAGGGCCGAGCCAAGGGAGAGGGATCTAAGAACACCAGGAGACACACGGTAACAAAAACATGCTGACTGAAAGTGCGGCGGCAGAGGACAGAGATATAGAGCGCACAAAAACCACAAGACGTGCGCAAAAAGAGAGCTGACGCGAGGGACGACGCCAGGCGCAACGTAACCAACTGCGCGGGGCGATGACATCACGAACGAACGACCATCGCCACGCAAGATTGGCCGCCATCAGCAACGACTGCTCGCAAAGATGCGCGCGCACATACAGCAAACGGACCTTCGCTTGCACTCGTCGTAGAAGCCATAGATGCGATTGATGGACGCGCACTCGTGGTTCCCCCGCAAGAGGAAAAAGTTCTCCGGGTACTTGATCTTGTACGCGAGCAGCAAGCAGATGGTTTCCAGGCTCTGCTTCCCGCGATCCACGTAGTCGCCCATGAAGAGGTAGTTGGCCTCGGGAGGGAAGCCGCCATACTCGAACAGGCGCAATAGATCGGAGTACTGCCCGTGTATGTCGCCTGCAAGGCCGGAGAGGGATCGTGTGGATAGACGGGTTGGGAAGGGAGTTGTAACGGCGGAGGCAGTGGCAGCGGCTGTGGCGGCAGCGGGGGTGATGAAACGCCCCGTACGAATCATGGGCGATTAGAGAGAGAGAGAGAGAGAGAGAGAGAGAGAGAGAGAGAGAGAGAGAGAGAGAGAGAGAGAGAGAGAGAGAGGATCAATATAGGAGCTTGACCGTGAGAACGAAAGGATGGGATTAAGAGAATTGCGAAACACGAACCGAAAGCGGTGACTAACGGCGTGGGAGACGCGCGAAATGGGGAGGGGAGGGAGGGGAAGGGAGGAGGGAGAGGGGAAGGGGGGGAAAGAGAGAGGGCGGAAGAACGTTGAAAAGGCGGAGAGAACGTTGACGCGGACGAAAGAAAACTCATTTAAAGAGACTAGGAGACACGGAGTTTAAACGGTAGGCTTAGGATGAAGACACATAGCTTGGAAACCGTAACGAGGAGGAATGAGAAAGAAGAAGGGGTGTGGGGGGAGGGGGGGAAGAGAGGGAAGAGTGTGTGTATGTGTTGTATGAGTATGTGCAGGTGAGTGAGCGAGAAAGAGAGAGTGAAGAGAACGGGTGGACGAGAGATGATTTAGGGGGGAGGAGGGGTGGGGGGTGGGTGGGAGTAAGAGCGGGGATAAATGATGAAACGGGGCGACGAAGCGCAGGACGAAGACGGTTAAAAACAAAGGATAGTTGAAGAAACAAAGGTGAAGGAATAAGAGCTTGCAGCGACGGAAGTTAGCTTGAAACCCACCACAGATCTTGATCGGAGCCTCCAGTTCCAAAAGGTTCGGCTGCTGCAAAAATATATCCCGAGATGTGGTACAGAGACTTCGAATCTCTGCTTCTGTCAGCTGAACTTGTTTACCTGGCCTACCGTTTCTGACATCTAGTAGTCTGGCGATTATATCGTCCAATGTCGCGTCATCCATCGCTTGCTAAAGTCAAGATTTTTATGCTCTTGTTATTTACGGTGTCAACACCACGGGACTCTGCCTCTGGAATTGAGATCTGTCAGATATGTGTGCAGAAACAGGTTTTGCAGATCTTCAGGTCGTACGGATAGAGTAGACACTGAAACAAGCAGCTGAAGAAAAAAAACTCCTTGAAGCAGAAAAGGCCTGTTCTGACCAGTCTAAGTAACCCCAAATGCCTAACACGCGGCGGCGAAAGCAGGCTTACCAACCCTACGCCCGACTCTGACTGACTGCTGGACCTACGCGATACCTCACCGCGTTAGTTGCAAGTTCTGTGCCTTGTTACAGTCCAGTGTGTTTGACTTGAACGATGGGTGGGGGAGACGGGAAGGGGAGAGGAGGAATTGAGTGGATGGGATGGGATGGGTGGTTACGGAGTGGCGGGTTCAGAAACCTGACAGGTCAGGAAGGGGAAGAGGGAGAGGGAGAGGGAGAGGGGGAGGAAGAATGTGTGAGGAGAGGAGGGAGATATATGGTGGGTGAGAGGAAGAGAGCGGGAGTGGGAGTGGAAGCATGAGAGGAAGGGTGAGAGGGGTTGAGGTGGGGGGGAGACATCCCAGTGGACCATGAGTGGGAGGGTTCAGGTTGGTTCGGGATGGGCAGTTTCTCCCTGGAGGTCGGTTGATGGGATATCATGAGAGGTTCAGTCTAGTGACCGGAATTTTAGTACGGTAAAGAAAATTGACCATCTCACACGAATATCACCAGACCTCGGTTTGCTTGGTACACGGTAGGAGTTCCATACCTGCCCAGGTAATCACTACAAGCCTTTCGGCTGCTTCGGACTCTGTCGTTCCCTACCACGTGTCTGAGGTTGGTTTGAAATCTGGTTTATGAGTGGCTGGAAGCGGATGGGTGGGTGGCTGGAGGGAAAAATGGGATACATAGACATTTGACTTGATAAAAGGGAAAGCTTGTAACAGCTGTAAAACCAATGGATAAACAAGTGCTATATACTAACAATGCAAATGTTGGTCCTAACATTTTCTATACAATAAGCAACTCTCAAGGCACTGCATACAATACAGCCGGAAATAATTGCAATAGCTTCAGTGGCCTAGCATCTCATACCGGGCTTAAAAAAATATATCAGCCCCACAAGATTTTAGAGAAGAGGTGCAGAAACTAAGTTGTTAGTGCCTTAAACAACGCGTATTTAATGAAGCAGTAAGATAACGTCAACATTCCACCCCACCATTGCAATCTGTTACGAATAGTAATGTGTAAGAACATTACTGTGCACTCCCGACCGCAACTAAGGAAGCATGCAGTATCGGGAACGAATACGAAGAGTCTGAATTGACTCAAAGCGTCAGACGGAGGTGGGTCTGGACCGTCGGAGCAGACGGCAACAGACAGCTGCAGTCAGGAGGAATTACCGGTAGGCAAGAAACGGTTTCGTAACTGTACGCGCCGCACAGTTGTGAATGAGTTTGAATAAGGGAATGTATCCCTTAGAGTATATGACTAGCTAGGTCGATTCATACCGCCATACCCCGGATATACCCACATGACGGGCAATAATCAAAAAAGTTTTTTTAGGGGTGTGGGCTTATAATCGAATAAACTTATAAGCGTCGGCGTTTATAAAATGGCATATATGTTTCTTATACTTTTTTAACACCAAACTGTAGATCTCGTGCTTGCCTTTTCAATCGAGTCGAAGTTACATGGGGTCGTCTGTTAAATTTGTCAGAGCATTATGGCTTATGCTTTTGTGTAGGCTGTAGTGGGGTAGCCCATATGGGGTACAACCCAATTAGGGTTAGTACTTGTACCCAACCCTTTCATAGTGCATTCATTCTCGTTCTCTTTTCTTATGGTATCGAGCAGGTTCCCTCGTGGGAACTGTTCCTAGGGCCCACCAATTCGATTTTTTTTTTCCTGCCCGGAGCGCGCTCAGTTCCTGCCCGAGTCGCGCTCCACTCTCTCGACCCTCTCGCGCCGCCTTAGCGGCCCCGTCGAGTGGCGCTAGAGGCCCCGTCGTGTCGCCCTCGCGGCCCCATCCCGTCGCGCCGCCCTAGCGGCTGCGTCCTGCCGCCCTAGCGGCCCCGATTCACCGCCCTAGCGGCCGCGTCGCCTACTCCCGCGGCCCCGGCGCTGCCCTTCCCGGGCCCCGACGACGCCCTTCCCAGCCCAGCCCTACCTCTGCTGGCCCCGTCGCCTAGCCCTGCGGCCCCGGCGCCGCCCTTCCCGACCCTGACGCCGCCCTTCCCGGCCCCGATCCGCCGCTCTGCGGCCCCGTCGCCTACCCCGCGGCCCCGGCGCCGCCTTTTCTCGGCCCCGACGCCGCCCTTCCCGACCCGGCCCAGCCTTTGCTGGCCCCGTCGCCTACCTTGCGGCCCCGACGCCGCCCTTCCCGGCCCAGCCCCGCCTCTGCTGGCCCCGTCGACTACCTCTGCGGCCCCAACGCCGCCCTTCTCGGCCCCGGCACTGCCCTGCCCGGCCCCGGCCCAGCATCTGCTGGCCCCGTCGCCCGCCCTTCCTGGCCCCGGCCCCGCCTTCACGCGGCCCCGCCGGGCTACTGCCGAGCCGCCAGCGCCACCCGAGCCGCCTGACCCGCCGCGCCTCCGGAGCCGCCCGAGCCGCCGTACCGCCGAGTCGCCGAGCCGCCCGAGCAGCCCGAGCCGCCCGAGCAGCTCGAGCCGCCGAGCTGCCCGAGCCGCCTGAGCCGCCGAGCCGCCCGAGCCGCCCGAGCCGCAGTTGCAGCCGAGCCGCCCGAGCCGCCCAAGCCGCCCGAGCTGCCGAGTCGCCGAGCCGCCGAGCTGCAGTTCCTGCCGAGCCGTCGAGCCGCCCAAACCGCCTTGTCCGGTAAGAGCAGCCCCTCTGTCACTGCACTGCCTTTACCTCACTGTTCGCGCTACTAGTCTACTTCTGTCATGGCTACCCCTAGTGTCCTCGCTTTTGACGCTGAGGGTCGGGCCATTGACTTTGACGTCTGGGTAGATGACCTACAGCTTTTCCTACAGTGCGATAGGGCAGACGGTCTCTCCCTCTTTGACCTCACCTCTGGTGCCTCTCCTGCCCATGCTGCTGATGCTGACGCCACTGTTCGCTCACAGTGGGCCACACGCGATGCTGTTGCACGTCTTGCTGTGCGTCGCCACCTGCCTATCTCTGAGCGTGCGCACTTTAGCCAGTACAAGAGTGCTCAGACCCTGTACGACGCTGTAGTTGCACGCTACTCCTCCCCTGCCACTGCTGCACTGAGCCGCCTCATGCTACCATACCTCTTCCCTGACCTTGCTGCCTTTCCCACAGTCGCTGACCTCATTACGCACCTCCGCACTAGTGACACTCGCTACCACGCTGCGCTTCCTACTGAGTTCAGCGCCAAGAACCCCCCCCCCCATGTACATCACTCTCTACTACATCGTCACCCGCCTCCCTGACTCCCTTCGCTTAGTCAGGGACCACTTCCTCTCAGTTTGCCCCACCACTCTCACCGTTGACCTCCTCGAGAAGGCCCTCCTAGCAGCGGAGAAGAGCATAGTCGCCGTAGGAGCCTCTCGTGGTGACCCTCACACCCCCATCTTTGAGGGGTGTTCTCCCTCCCCCCTTTTGCCCTCTGTTGCCTCTGCTGCTGCGACCGACCTCGTTGGGCTTGAGTCGGTCGGTGCGGCGTCTACCCCTAGCGGGAGACGCCACCCTGGCAAGGGGAAGGAGGGCAGGGGCGGTGGAGGAGCTAGCGGGGGCGGTGGAGGAGGCGGTGGAGGGGGTGGGGGTGGCTGTGGGGGTGGTGGCGGGGGTGGAGGTGTCGGTGGCGGCAGTGGAGGCGGAGGCGGCGGCGGCGGTGGCGGTGGGAGCGAAGGCGGCGGAGGTGGCGACGGTGGAGGAGGCGGTGGCGGTGGAGGTGGAGCTGGTCGGGGTGGCGCTGCGCAGAGGGTCGGCTCCGGTGGTGGTCAGCGCCAGCAGCAGCAGCAGAAGCAGCGCACTCGTGACATCCCCCCCCCTCAGCAGCTCCGTGAGTGGTACGCTGCACGCCAGCGGGGTGGGGTTACTGGTCCGCGCACCTACGTCCTACGCACCGGCGACCGCGCAGGTGAGCAGTGCGGGGGTGCGCACTCCACCCAGCGCTGCTTTGGCCGCCTGACGGACGCTTGGCGTCACCAGTTCCCGGAGGCCACTGAGATCCCCCACTGGGGCGAGCTTTCTAGGGCGGGAGTAGCTGTCTTTGACCTTGACTTTGATGCTATTCTTGCTGCCATGTATGCTGTGACTATTAGTGATGAGGGTGACTGTTACCGGTGTTTTCCGCCCAACCCAGGCATTGAGACTGCTGGTCTAGGTACTGATGAGGCTGCTGCTCTAGGTGCTAGCGAGGCTGCTGCTCTAGTTGCTCGTGCGTCTGCTCCCTCAGGTGCTGGTGAGTCTGCTCTCTCAGGTACTGCGTCGGCTTCGGCCTCCCACACCTTCACCCTTGACTCGGGGGCTTCTCGCTCCTTCTTTCAAGACCGCACCACACTCACGCCGCCTGGCCGGCCAGTTGCAGTCTCTCTGGCAGACCCCTCTGGGGGTCCTGTCCTTGCTTACTAATCCACTGTCCTCCCGTGTTTGGCGGCCCCCTCTAGCACCCAATCTGGTCTTTACCTCCCCTCGTTCTCTACGAACTTGGTGAGTGGTGCTGACCTACAGGATGCGGGGGTTCACCAGTTCACTCCTGCGAGTCAGCGGGTGACCCACTGCATGGACGCTCGAACAGGCCGATACCTGGCCACGTTTACACGTGGGCCGGGGTCGAGCCTCTACACACTGACCACTGCATCTCCTCCAGTCATTGCGTCTGGTCAGGTTGCTGCGACGGGTCGGGTGTTTGCTGCAGCGTCCAGGTCTGGTCCTGAGTCTGCCCCCTGCTCGTGTCGCCTCCTGTCTCACGAGACTCTCCTCTGGCACCACCGCCTTGGTCACCCCT